TTTTTGTATAATAAATATGGCTAGATCTGTCTGTGTAAACACAGTTCAGAGCTGCTAGAAGAGTAGGAGCTGAATAAATTCTCTTTAATGTATATTGCTTTGTGTGGGGGGGTTGGGGAAAGGCAGGAACAATGCAGAGAGGAAGCCTGAGCATGGCTCAGCTTAGATCTGTGTTCTTGTTCTGAACTGAACTTCAGTAACGATTTCTTTTTTTTTTTTTGCAGCTTCCGGCCTCTCCTCTTCTCCGTCTACCCCAACACAAGTGACCAAGCAGCCTGCATTTCTCCTTGAATCCTATAAACATGAACCCGAGAGACTAGAAGGCCGGATTCACTGTTCTCCTCCTCCAGACACAGGGCAGAGGTTTTCCCTGCCTCCACCCCAAAGTGCAGCCAAGCCTCCCACAGTGACACCAACTCTCTGTGCTACCTCAAAAATAGTGAGTACTTTTGTAGGGCTCTCTACAGGGAGGGGCTGGGAACTGGAGCAGGAAGCCATGGACAGACTTCTTATATGAAGGGTATCCTGGGCCTTCCCCATGCTCTGCTGACAGCTCACCAAATATCCAGGAGCAGCTCTTCCTGTAGCTTAAGTGACAGCTGAATGCTGCCATCTTTGTATTTTAATCTAGGATAAGGGTTCTTGGTGGTTATAGGTTCCAGCACAAAATGCTTCATTTTAACTTGAGATGCCAGCTGAGGCTGGGATAAAATTGTTCAAGCTGCCAATTTTTTCACTCCCTCAAGCCAGCTGGCAGGTAAGGAGAACTTATAAACTTTTGCTACAGGTCAATAATTGAGGAAACTATCCATCCATATATGAAGCAGATACCCCACTGTACAGTCAGCTAGATTGTGAGGTCCTGCCTGAAGCCTGACTGGATTGGGACAACCATTGTTTGAAGGTGCCAGTCCACAGCAGGTCTTCTGACTCCACTCCAGAAAAGTAGGGGAGGAAGAACCGAACTGCTGGGATGTGAGCAGGGCCCAGGGACCAAGATTTCCTGGTAGCAGTGACTTCCACATCCCTAGACATCAGTGAGGTCTGGGCAGTCTTTCCTCTCTGCAAACTAGCTCTTGGTTCCATCTCTTTGGCTGGGATGATATGGTTAGGGATGGTCCTGCTCTGAGCAGGGGGTTGGACTAGATGACCTATTGAGGTCCCTTCCAACCCTCATTTTTTATGATTCACTTCCCTCCTTTCCCCAACAGCTGTAGTATCCCCTGCCCCTCATGTACCTCACCACCCTTTCTTCATCATTTTTTCTTTCCTTTCTCCCTTCTTTCCATTCCCTTGCTTATTTTTAATTCTGCCCCCCACCCACGCACACCATTCCCACTACCTTTACCCCAAAGAACTACCAAGCCATATGTCTTAAAATGAATCATTTGTCTGGGTGGTCTGTTTCTTTCTCTCATTTGTGGTTTTGTGGCTTGTTTGGGGTGTATATTTTGCATTCTTTGATAACCGTCTTCCTGTAGATCTGTATGGTACTTGGCACACCTGGGCTGTTCTGTCCTATAACCAGAATCCCATCCCCCTCGAACCAGACTTCCAGAAAACAACAGTGGAATGCCTGATATGGCTTTTCCTAGCTGCTTGATGGAAGAATTAGCTTTTCTGCCTCTAGAGATTATGAAATTTAGGGACCTTTAAGCCAGAAAGATCATTTTCTGCAAGACTGGGTCTGCTGGGTTGAATGATTTGTATGTGAGTTTGATTTTTTGTAAAGATACCTCTAGGAATGGAGCATTTTCTCGCAGTTGGAACAAAGGGCTGGGAGTCACGTTCCCAATGACTGACTATGTTTACTTGGGGTCATAAAGAGCAAGAGATTTTGTTTTTGTTTTTTTAATTAGTGACTGAAAAAATATAATTAAATACTGGAACAATGTGAAATTAGGGAGATGGCAAAACAAAATACATGAAAATCCTCATTCAAACCAGTGTAAGGTTCACATCCTTAATTTGTGGGATTGGACTGGTGGGGGGAGCGGTGACTGCACAAATGGAAGACTAGATGGAAAGTCACTGTTTAGGTCCTGTTTGCCTTTGCTTTGCAACTCATGGATTCATTTACACCTGGGCAGAGCGGGTATATAAAATTGCATGTATTGTTTTGATTCAGTTCTCTTATCTGCTTACTTTGCCTGGGTGTAAATGAGATGTAAAGCAGTGAGGAATCAGGCTGCTGATGTTCAGTTTTTAATAGATGTCCATGAAGAGCTCTGCTGATAGGCCAGAGTATCAGGAGCATGACACAACTGTAATAACTCAGGGATGGTGGTGAGGCTGAGAGGCACAGTAGTTCTGGATCTTTCAGTGACTGAATACTTCTAGCCCCATAGCAGTGCTCACCAGTAGGGTTAGCAGAACAACAGTGTTAATTTTATGGGCGCTGCCTTGCATACTTTCTGTTGAGTTAATTTACTGTGACTTGAGTTCTTCTGTTGCAGATTAATAAAATATTTGTTTTCATAACGCAGACACCATAAACAAGCCCCTAAAAGGCATATGCAGCAGGGCTACTCATTAAGCTGTCTATTTCTCTGGCTAACAATTTCCATTCTTTGAACCCCCATCTGTAAATTGGGTGAGTAATGCTTCACGGTAACGGCTGCGGAAAGCCCCTAACTGCACTGGTAGCTGAACGGGGCTGGGGGGAGAAGTCTATGCAGACCAGTCTGAATTGGAAATTAAAAGATGGGCTTCGTTTTATAGCGTATCATCATCAGCTTCTAAAAATCACATTTCTTTATGAAATGTTTCACTTGGTAGTGCAAAAGTTAACATCTGAAACATCCATAAGGGAAGGATTAGGAGTAAAAGTCGTTGTATTTTGCAGTGATTCCACTTTCCCATGTAGTCAGGCCTTAATCATTCAAACCTTTACTCCTGTGTTTTAACTACATGAAAAACCCCTTGTTAGTGTTACTATTCTTATCCTGGGACAGGACCCCATTGTACTAGGTGGTGTACAAAAATAGGGCACCGGCACTCATGAAAGATGTAGAACCGGTATGTGGAAGTAACTTTGGAAGGGTTAAAGCTGCTAGAAAAAGAGAAGGGGGAGAGGGAAGAGTAACACTGCAAACAGCTGATGTAGTCTAAAAGTTTCCATTTGGAAAGAGCACTATGAAGGTTAGGATCTTCTCTAGTTTGGAGAGAGGAAAAAAAAATTTAGGAAGCTGGTTCCTGACCAGGGACAGAACAGTATTCTTCTTTGAGGGAGTTCATCCAGACACTGTCCACCAATCCAAGTATTCACCCCACACCACAAAAGTATAGAGGGCACTAAGGAAAGTGACACATTTTTGTAGTAGTTCTTGTAAAAAATTATAGGTGTCTGTGAATTGTAGGTGTCTGTAAAAGTGCCTAAATGTACCCTGTGTTTCTGAACGAAGAGATTCAGTGCCTCCAAACAGCTGTGTGAGGCTCGGCTATGAAAGTGCTCCATCCGGGGACAAGCTCCCCCCTACACGCCTACAGGCTTGGCAATGCCAAACTGACCAGCAACATGAATGAAAGGGTCCTGGGGTTAATAATTGACCACAGTATGAATATATGCCAGCGGTGTGATGCCATAGCCACCAGGGCAAATAATACCCTGGCATGCATCAATCAGTGCATCTCCAGCAAAACCAAGGAAGTGATTCTTCCACTCTACTTGGCATTGTGAGACTGCAGCTAGAGTACTGCATCCAGTAGAGTTCTAGGCCCCACACTTCAACAGAGACATGGTAAAGCTTGAGAGAGTCCAGAGAAGAGCCACCTGTATGATCAGAGACTTGCATGGCAAGCCATACGATGAAAGGCTGAGGGACCTGGGACTCTTCAGCCTGAAAAAGAGAAGGCTGAGAGGGGACGTTGTAGCGGCTTACCGCTATATCTGGGGCATACATCAAGGGCTTGGTGAACAACTGTTCACCAGGGCACCCTTGGGGATAACCAGGAGTAATGGCCACAAACTCCTGGAAGATAGATTTAGGCTCAACATTAGGAAAAACTTCTTCATAGCTAGGGTGTCCAGGCTGTGGAATAAGCTCCCTCCAGAGGTGGTGCAATCGCCTACCCTGGAAATCTTCAAGAGGAGACTGGACAGTCACCTTGCTGGGTTCATGTGCCCCCTGTTGTCTTTCCTGCCTGGTGCAGGGGGCTGGACCCGATGATCTTCCGAGGTCCCTTCCAGCCTCACAAGCTATGCATATGCACATGACATTCTTTACGTAAGGCATGTGCATGTCATGTTTGGAAGCTGGAGACTTGCAGTGAGCTGATAAGAGATCAAACCTGTAACCACAGATTAGTATTCATCACATTTAATGGGGCAGGCACAACTGGATTTTTTCAATATACAGTTTATGAGACAGTTTGTACTTTGGCCTCTTGTTGTTTGCAGTGTGTGACCTTCAGGTAGTAGGTGGAGAATGATAACCTCACTCTTCTTTACCGTGACATTACTAACCACAAATGGAATGCAGAGAGGTCATAAATTAAGTAGCCAACATGTTTTGCTTGTTTCCGCTTTGCCCGTGTTTTAAAGTGCAAAGACGAATGCTGAGTGTAATATTGATGTTCTCTTTTGCATTTCCTCCTTGCTCCTTCCTCTGCAGCATTACAATGTTTGTGCAATGAACAGGGCACTGCCCAGGCTATCATAAAAAGGTTCATATTTGCTGAGGACATCACTCCTAGCCTACTTCCAGAATGCAGCCATTCCCTGTGCATGAACAGCCCATGCAGGAGAGGGGGAGGGAAACTGGGAAGAGCAGGCTTTTTGCTTCCTCATAGGGCTGTGCAAAGCTGCAGGTGCTGATTCAATTCAGAGGAGATTCATCCCGATTCGGTGGCCGAATCTGAATTGAATCAGGAGACCAGTTAAAAAGTCCAAACTGATTCGGAGAGCTTTGACGATTTGGGCAGTCCCTGCTCACTGCCACAGAGAGCTGGACCCAGACTCCATGCTGGTAAGTAGGGGGTAGGGGATAGGGAGCTGGAGGAGGGGAGAAAAGACCATGGGGGTGCCCCCTGCCACACCCCTACCCCCCCCACTCTCCCAGTACCCCTCCTCCCCCCATATGGCTGCCCTGCGTGCCCCAGCTCCTGGCTCTTAAAAAAAAAA